ATTTTTTTGGTTTGCGGTCGCAAAAAAAAACCCCAACAAAACAAAACAAACAAACAAAAAACCAAAAGCTAGTAATTGTCGCATGATCATAATTGTGACCACGTTTGTTTCACAGCTCGCACGTTTGAATGAGTATGAGTGTCAATCGCCATCCTAAGTTAGGAGTGGAAAGTATTTTCCAGGCCTCCAAGGTAAGCATTGATGCAGCCAGTATTAATTTCCTGCTTCATTTTAGATGTATGTCTTTTTGGCCTAAAAGCCTCCATTGTGACTCCTCCTCCACCTCTTGTCACTTGCTCTTTGCTGCATTCCTCTTTCTCCACTATCTCACTCCCTTCGGCAGTGTGCCAGTCCTCCTCTTCCTCTTTCTCTCATGAATTCAACTTCTCCTGTTGGAGCCTGCCCCCCCGTTTTATTTCCATCAGCTGGAGGACCTGAAAACATCCACATACGCTCGGACATGGGAATCATGACCCTATACAAGGACACAGGAAATGCTGTCAAAGACCATCAACAACTTTTTCTTCTATTTTGAGGCAGGAAAAAAAAAACCTTGACAACATAAGGAATCTTTGAGGAACTTTTTTTTTTTTTACTTCAAAATTAAGTGACAAGGTTACGTTTCTATACACTGACAGTGACAACATGAGCGTAAATAGGAAAAAGAGTGGGCTGATTATTAGTTGGCAGAAGTCATTGTCCATGCTGGCTCCTTGGAGGAAAGGTACAGTTGACTTTTGCCTGTTGTGTTGTCATGATCGTTGTTGTAAGGCCTCAAGGTGTTTTGGTTGGACATTGTGTGTCGTGCTAAAACGAACAGACATTCTCATCGCAAGCGCTGATGAAATTCTTTGACAGACAATCAGAATCAATTCTTTCACATCTGCACATAGGATCAGTGTTGGAATGCGTCAGTCCATTTTGACAAGTGAACAATAATCCTGGCTTATTTCTGATGCCTGATGTCGTGTCTAAAGAGCACAGTTGCTAACTGACATCATTTTCAGATATAAACATGAACCGCTTGACTCACATGTTCATGTAGTATTTGTACTGGTCATGTTGTTGATGACAGTTCTCATTTTTTAATTTACTACAGTTATCACTGGCTCAGGGAAGAACAGCTTCTGCAACTTCAGAGTATTTCTGTCAACCCCAAATTTTGTTTTAACCCTTTCAGGGACAGCGGTTACTACAGTGGGCAGCTTATCATGTCATCAGGTTACACGGTGCATGAAAGGGTTCAAATATTGGGGTCAGACTATGTGGAAAAAAAAAAGTAAAAACTGATCTTGAAGTGTTACTGGTGAGTGTGATAACGTGAGTCAGTAAATATTCCCTCCAAATAACCCGAGACAGATGCAGCTTTTCTATTTACAGTATTTTAGATATTTCATGACATGTGGACTTCCAGTTGATATTGTTTCTTTTTTTTTTTTGCGGGGGGCACAAGTTTTGTGAAGCCAAGTTTGCTTCCTATAATTTTCGGAGGGAGAAGCAAAACATCTGACATGTTGCCACTTTATCATTGAGTAAAGTATCATTACAAAGTGCCAACAATTGCCTGTTTTGACATGCACCAAGCACTGAACAACATTAGAAATCACTAGTCATGTTTCATCTCCCCAATATAAAATAGACGAAACTTTCAAAGCGTGCAGGGGCCAGGGAGCAGTATTAGATGATTTGCAAAGACTACATTGTGTAGTAGTTCCATATTTTTTTCGTTCTAATCCTAGTGTCAGGTTGCGGCACATTCCATGTACAAGCCTCACTTGGATATCGCTTTCAGCTCATTTACTGTATGAGAGCCCACACCTGCCAAGAATCTTTCCATTTTGTTGCGTGAAGACCAATCTCTTTTTGCAGCTGCCATTCTTTTTTTTCATTGTTCACTATATTACTTTGAGTTTTAGTCTAAATTTTTCGAGGATTGTGTGGGCCATTGTCAGTGTACCACTTCCATTGTGTGCAGTGCAGCGGGGAGCGGCTCTGAGCTAGAGATTTTTCGTGAACCCTTGTTATCATTTTAAAGCTGCTGAAGTCAGGAATGAAACTGGGTTATGAGCTCGAGAACAGCAACTTTGCCTCTCTCTATTACGGTTGAAACTATAATACTCTACAAGACATTTCTGATGTTGAGTCGAAATGGTCAATGAGTTGATCAACTGCCCTTAAACAAGAATAATAATGAATCTTTTGTCTTTGTTGCAGTTGGTGTAACTGTATGCATTCAAATAGGAAACGCATTTGTATCCACAGTGTATTTCTCCATATACAGACGCTCCCCGACTTACGAACATCCGAGTTACGAACAACGGTACATACGAAAATTTTTACGGGTATGTCGAAAAAGAAAAGAAAAAGTTAAGATTTTGTATTGCGCGCCTTTTTCCGAGTACAGTACAGGTGTAGTGTTTCTTTCCGCTGCTAATACCGACGTGAGGCGCTGTGAGAGCTCGCCCAGCATCCACCCCGAATCCGGCTTCCTCTGCCCAGTTGTTAAATATCTCGTGCATCCATTATTCAATATGGTTGGTGAAAAGCGAAAGGCTTCTAGTGAGAGTGGAAGTGTAAAGAAGAGGCAAGCCATTTCATTTCAAATGAAAGTGGCAATAATAAAGAAGCTTGATGCGGGTGAGAAAATGGTGAGCGTTGCACGTGCATACAACATGAATCGTTCGACCATCGGTACCATTTATAAACAGAAAGATCGCATAATGGAACACGTGAAAGGTGCAGTGCCGATGCAATCGATGATCATTAGCAAGTAAACATACTTATATAAGCCTAAAACAAACATTCCATACAAAATATAGCACTGAAGCAACTTAGGAACGAATTCACCTTACGAACGATCGTTCGGAACGTATCTCGTTCGTAAGCTGGGGAGCGTCTGTATGTGGTAGTGTTGTCCACCAGCAAAGGATGCCAGAAAGTTATTTCAGCACCCGTTAAAACTTTTGACAATGGGCCAATTGAAAAAAAATAGCATGTCATGCCCTTATGAACTATAATGCTTGGCTTGCATCATGAATAAACCTGCCCAGAAAGTACCTCAATGCTTGAGCATGAGACACCACGCAGCATGTTCTGCAAAGCGCTGCAAAGTGGCAAGTACAGTGAAGTCCACAGATATAGCGACACAGATACAATTCCACCAGAATGGATTTGAAATCAAAGATTTAACTGCAGACTTTCTGGTGTTTCACACCTTTTAATTTGAGGGTATTTACAGCCAAAACAGGTGGCCGGTGTAGGAATTACAACAGTTTGGAGTGTACGTACGTACACACACACACACACACACACACACACACACACACACACACACACACACACACACACACACACATTTATATATACATATACATCTACACATACATACATATACATACAGACGCTCCCCGATTTACGAGCATTCGAGTTACGAACAACGGTACATACGAACATTTTTATGGGTATGTCGAAAAAGAAAAGAAAAAGTTAGATTTTGTATTGCGCGCCTTTTTCCGAGTACAGGTACTGTAGTGCTTCTTTCCGCCGCTAATACCGACGTGAGGCGCTGTGAGAGCTCGCCCAGCATCCACCCCGAATCCGGCTTCCTCTGCCCAGTTGTTAAATATCTCGTGCATCCATTATTCAATATGGTTGGTGAAAAGCGAAAGGCTTCTAGTGAGAGTGGAAGTGTAAAGAAGAGGCAAGCCATTTCATTTCAAATGAAAGTGGCAATAATAAAGAAGCTTGATGCGGGTGAGAAAATGGTGAGCGTTGCACGTGCATACAACATGAATCGTTCGACCATCGGTACCATTTATAAACAGAAAGATCGCATAATGGAACACGTGAAAGGTGCAGTGCCGATGCAATCGATGATCATTAGCAAGTAAACATACTTATATAAGCCTAAAACAAACATTCCATACAAAATATAGCACTGAAGCAACTTATGAACGAATTCACCTTATGAACGATCGTTCGGAACGTATCTCGTTCGTAAGCTGGGGAGCGTCTGTATGATTTTTTATTTTATTTTTTTTTAAGGCATATGCATTTCAGGGTTATTCTGAGGGATTGACAATCAAACTGTAACATTTCAGTGGGACCAGTCCTCACATTGAACAAAGTTACAGGACTCTGAAACATTCTTTTCTTATCCCAATGTTTTTGATAAGCCACTGTCGAGTTGGGAGCGGGGAGGCATTTTGATAAAGACGGCGAGTCTGGGTATCATCCTTGAGTTTGACGACACCCCAGTCTTGAAAATAGTGGAAAACTGAGTTGAGCTGAAAACAAGCCCATGTGTTGAGAAACAAGTGAGGAGGTGGGAAGTGACTCCCGTGACTGGGAGGAATATACAGTAGATGATAGTAGTGTGCCGCTGCTTTTTCTCACTTGCACCATGAATTAAATTAACACTGACAATGGGGGTGGCCCGATGGTCCAGTGGTTAGCACGTCGACCTCACAGTGCAGAGGTGCAGGGTTTGATTCCGGCTCCGGCCTTCTCCTTTGTGGAGTTTGCATGCTTAATAAAATTAATAATTAATAATTAATTAACAATAACAATAACAAGGTTAATGGAACACTCTAAATCAGGGGTGGCCAACCCGCAGCTCGCGAGCCACATGCGGCTCTTTGGCTGGTTCAATGCGGCTCCCGGGCTTTCACACGACAATTGTCGAAAACACTTCGGCAGTGGCGCTGCCATTCAAACAAAGGCGCTAAATACACAGCAACGCATTAGGTCAACCTATCATCAGTACTGTACCGTTATTTGATTGACATAGAGCGCAACCAATCAGATGACTGAATCACCGCTCATGCACAAACCACGGCGCTAAGTGCTAAGCTAGTCAGCGAATTACCTCTGATTTTAAGGCAGGGGTGCCCAATACGTCGATCAGAATCGACCGAGAGCCAGCGGACTGGTCCCAAGTCGACCGCAAGGGGTAGGAGGAGGAAATGGGTGGGGGAAAAAAAAAAGATTTGTGTGTTTGTGTCTTTAACTTTCGTTCATGTTCAGGCCATTCCGGCCTGTTGCTCATCGTGGCGTGCGTGCATATGGGCGCGAGTGCATGATTGGGCACCCGCGTGCGTGCGTGCGTGCGTGCGTGCGTGTGCTCGCACATGCGCGATTGGGTCGATCGTGGGAAGTTGGTCGCTTCGAAAGTCGATCTTTGGGCATAAAAGTGTGTGTGTGTATGTGCGTGTGCGTGTGTGTATGTGCGTGTGTGTGCGCTTGCACATGCGCAATTGGGTCGATCGTGGGCAGTTGGTCGCTTCAAAAGTCGATCTTTGGGCATAAAAGTGTGTGTGTGTATATGCGTGTGCGTGTGTGTATGTGCGTGTGTGTGCGCTTGCACACGCGCAATTGGGTCGATCGTGGGCAGTTGGTCGCTTCAAAAGTCGATTTTTGGGCATAAAAGTGTGTGTGTGTGTGTATGTGCGTGTGTGTGTGTGTGTGTGTGTGAGTTGACTGAAAGACAGTCAACTCACCTCATTTAGTATGCATCATTTGTCCACGTACTTGACAAAGTTGTCACAGGTGCCGCTCCCTTTTAAAGAAGGTTGTAGCTCTTTGCAGTAACACAGTAAAAAAATTGCCTCTTAGTCTCTGACTGGTTGGCCACCCCTGCTCTAAATTTTGCCTAGGTGTGGGTGTGAGTGTGAGCGTGGATGGTTGCTCGTCTCTGTGTGCCCTGCGATTGGCTGGCAATCAGTTCAGGGTGTACCCTGCGTACTGCCTGAAGACAGCCAGAATACGCTCCAGCACGCCCGTGTGAGGATAAGCGGATTAGAAAATGGATGGATGGATGTTTATTAAAGTGGTGGCACGGTGGTTAACTGGCTCACGCGTCGGCCTCACAATGCCGAGGTGCAGGGTTCGATTCCGGCTCCGGCCTTCTTATATGGAGTTGCATGTTCTCCCTGTACCTGTGTGGGTTTTCTCCGGGTATGGTTGTGAGCATATACGGAATAGAAAATGGATGGATGGATGGATCTTTATTAAATCAAATGGTCCCACAGTTACAAGAAACAGCAATGAAGCAAATAATATCCCCCAAAAAAGAAATCAAATTTCGTTTTAACTGTTTTGAGATCAAATGTGGTCATTGGGGGTGATGGGACAAAAGAAAAATGGCATTTCGGGGCAGTACAGTATTTGGTATTTTTAAAACTATTGTCAAGCATTCTTTTCTCTTTTTTTGTCTCAGGAACAGTAAATGTACTCAGAAACTGCATGTTTTAGTATTTCGGATTTGGATTGGTTAAAAATTGATGTGTGGGACGTAAAACGTCCTCCACTTCTGGAATGCCCTTTATTGTGCATGTGAAACCTACAAAAAAAAAAAAAAAAAAAAAAAGCTCTGTTTTTCGTGACTTCAAAACCCGTTGACTATTTTTTGCCTTCATCCTCTCATGCAGTTGAAATGCTTTGTTGGAAGAGTGTACCAGCTTCAGGCAAGGCATTCCTACCACTCTCCTATAACACCTGTCTAGCCCTGAGCACTTTGGAGGGCACTCGCGTGAATCACAAGACCAATGTTGTGTGGAATGCAATATTTATCTGGCGGGAAATGATGTGAACATTTTTTTTAGAAGATAAGAAGCAATAGCGTCATGTTTGGGAGGATGACCTATTTGCAATTATAGAGTAAGTTGTGGGTCTTAGTCAAGAGGCAGGTAATAGACCGAGTCAGTCATTGAAGACAATTGCAAGGCAGTGTGCAAGACTCATTTGTGTTGCGTGGAATCAGAGCAACACCTGTCAAGATGACGCTGCTCGTATAAGGCGTATAATTTAAGGTAACCAGGTGTTCTTCTAATTACCAGTAAGACAGATGAAACTATATGTTCACTGAATATTTACAAATACAGACACCATATCATATCCGGAGTTCCTATCGATGATTACACTGAAAATAAACCCCAGTGTTAAATATGATCTGACAGGAGAATACAGAATCACATGGTATGTGCAGTACTGTTTACACACCTAAAGTGATATGAAAGAAAGTATGTGAGTGCTGAATCTTGGCCCAAATTCTGCCTCATGTTAAGTTTGGCACTCCAACCTTGTTCTAGGGGTGGAAATATTTCATTTTCAGAAGGACGGGCTCCAGTGATAAAAGAACAAGAAAGGCATCTTATTTTCACCACTTGTCTGGGAAAAAGTCCTCCTCTTGCTCCAATTTACCATTCTTGAAGTGCCACCTCACATTATTGTTGGTCTGAGAGGGGAAAAGCAGGATTTTCCCTCTGGGTTGAGTGTTGAGTTTCATGGGGCAATGTGTGGTTTCCAAAATGCCAGTTTATTATTTGACTTTGGCAGCAAAGCGTGACACAAATGCATTCCGTTTTAATTGTTCTTTTACTGCAAGTTTTCCTCATCAGCCATATATTGTGTTCCCAGTGGTGCACGGCACTTTTCAAATGGAATTTGGTCGTCTACTTTAAGGTTTAGGATTCGATTATCAGTCCCCTGAGGCTCTGTTTTCGGGGGTAGATAGCTCAAGAACAAAATCCTCAGACTTGGTCTTTCCTTCTGAGGACTCGGTTGATTTAGTGAAAGACTAAAGGTGTCGTTTATCGTGAGACTGGTGTTTTTTTTTTTTTTACATCTTGTAAACCAGATCTGCATTGATCACTGCATGCAATGAAACTGGCTTACATAAGGAAAATCATCATCGCAATGTACAGTACTATTGTTAAAAAAACAACCCCCCCAGTGTAAGTTTGGGTGTTTTGTCTTCTACAATAACAAACTATTGTAGACTTTCAATACACCGATAAGTTATTGTGTTTTTTGTTGCTAATGATTAATTGATGAATTTGGTTCCCCAGGTGGAAATAAAAGGAATCATAGGCAAGCGGTAAAGAATTATACTTATTCACGTGGATGGATGGATGTTTGAGTTCAACAGAGGTGAAAATAAAACAGCCTAAAAGAGGAAGCGAGCCTTTGGAAACTGATATGGCCAAAACACTACACTATCAGTATTTTGGCAGAGTGACGGCTATTCAACAATAAGGTTATCAGAACAGTGGCATATTTGGAGGAGATGTAGATAGGTGGCTGTTTTGCTGACAGATTAGGTTGGAAATCAAAACAAGCTGTTTTCGTGGGGGGATTCCGCTGATGCCAGCTTTCCACCATTTGGACATTTCTGCAGATTATTCAGTTGCACATCAACAGCCACGAAGCATATTACGAACAAAGACATCACACAGAGACACCCTGTTGTCAGCAATACTCTTGATTTCTACTTAACTAAACCTCAGTATACTTCTTGACCAAAGACAGTTGCGGCGTAGATTAAGCCACTTGGCACCACCAATGACACAGCTTAACTGTGCTGTGTCATTGGTGTCCTGTCTTTTCTACCTTCCATGTCAGTTATCACTTTGCCACAGATGTTTATTCAGCTCTGTTAAACAATAACGCCCTCCCCATTGTGCTCATTTCCACCACGGGATGCAGTTCAATTTAGCACAGAATCGTTTCGAACGTTCAACCCTCTTCTGACTCAGACTGTTTTAATTGCATCAGTATGCATATGAATAATACGAATGGGCGCCTACTCACCTGCAACCCTGAAGAGTGCAAGGGGCTTAGAGACAGTGGATGGATGGCTCACATTCTAGTAGTATGGCTTCAGTGTCATACGACGAGAATATGAGCAATCCATGGCTTCAGTGTCACAGTCAAAATGTGATGCTTTGAAAATCAGACACATGAATTTGGGTAATGCCTTAATGACAATAAAAGAGTCCAAATACTATCCCCCCATCTTGAGAGTGGCAAAAAAAATCGAATTAACTCCACTACTCGGTGGAAATAAGGGGGCTTGTACAGTATACCATTTACACAATAAAGCTGAATAACAACATAACATTCCCATCTAGTGTTGTGTCTGCAGGCCCTTTGCCCCACTCCCACTCTAGCCTACATTTTAGACTTGGTCTTGAAAAGGAAGTGTAAAAAAAGCTTATGTGCTCCATTTCTCTTCAAGTCTCCCTCCTCCAAAGTTCCCTTCAGAGAGGATAAAAACGTCAGATTTACCACTTCAAAGAACTTTTAATCTCATATTTGCCTTGGCGGGATCTCAAATTCACCCTGTAGGAAGTCTCACAATCTGCCCTGTTGTTGAAGTCCGTGACGTGCGGTGAGATTCATGGCTGGTGAGGCACTGACATTATTGTCAGATTTATACATTTTGAAGGTAAACAAAGTGGTGTGGCTGCCTGACACACACACAAAAAAAAGTAGATATGAACATTTCTTTTCACACACACAATGCTTTAGGCATTAGCAGGATTGCATTTCTGGAATTGACACGGTGTTGTATGAAACTGCGGCCCAGCTCAGTCGGCATTAACTATATGAACAAATAGCAGCTTAGAAATCAATAGGCCTACAACAATGACACAAAGATATATAAACATTCGAAACATAGAACATTCTAAATTGTCCCTAGGTGTGAGTGTGGGCGCGGACCAGTTCAGGGTGTCCCCCGTCTACTGCCCGAAGACAGCTGGGATAGGCTCCAACACACCTTGCGACCCTTGTGAGGATAAGTGGATCAGAAAATGGATGTATTGATGGATGTATATATTCGATAAATAATATCAATATATACTTTTATAGATCTCGCCTCCTGGCAAAAACCCCACCAGCCACCTCAGTTAGCAGTAGATTAAAAATAGCATTCAGTCTATGGTTGACAGGTGTTGTTTAGTTGAAGGTAGTGGTGAAATGTGTAGTGGCCCGCAAAGCTATTGTTATGTTTAGTGGTTGTGAACACAAAGGACTGCCTGAAACACTCAGTTATGGTCCTGGTTGGAATGCGGCCGCTTGTCGTGGAGAGGGTGGGAAGATTTGCTCAAGATGCCCCTCATTTTATACTTTGTCCTCACCTCAGCCATCATCACTACATGTGCAACTTGGGCATTTGACTTAATTTCCTATGTGTCTCACTTTGTACTTGTTTTAAAACATTTCTGATACCTCGCCCTGGCTCAGTATCAAATTTAGAATAGGTTCGTTGGAGATAGGCACTCAGAAATGAAACACAAGAGACAAATCTGCTACTAACAAATTGCACGTTTATTAGCGCCACAGAATATGTCACACAATCATTCAATAGCACAAGAGACAAATCTGCTACTAACAAATTGCACGTTTATTAGCGCCACAGAATATGTCAAACAAGCAAATATCAGTGTATCAAGCTCTTAGAATAGTATCCAGCCCTTACCGTGCGTCAATAGGATGGAGAGCCAACACCCCAGGTAGAGCGA